AGGCAGAAGAATAAACGGCAGCCGCGTGGAGTAAACGGGGATTGTGTAGAAACAGGAGTAATTAGCGGGCGCAATTGACGCAGGCGAACTGGAGGAATCGGTTGCACGGGTCGCAATCTGAGAAACTCGACGGCGGAAGAAATGCGGCAGGAATTCTGCGGGAAAGCGGAAGAAGCTCGCGAAACGACTGAAAAATAAGTCCACCGAGCGGAGAAAACAGAGAGGAAAGCAACCCTGTGCACGGAGGACACTTAAGACAACCGCGATACTGTGTCACAAAGGACGACCTCGAAAGGAGAGCGAAGAAAAAATCGTAACGAGCTGAAGAGAGGGGAAGAAAGCGCGAGGTAGAAACAGGGTGAAAACACAGGGTGAAAACACGACGGAAACGCAGAGAGATACGGAAAAGAACGAAGGAAAAACACGAAAGAAGTAAGATAAAGACAGAGAGAGGGGGAGAGAGAGAGAGACAGAGGAGCCGGAAGAAAAGGAAGAAAGATGGAGAAAAGAGGGATTCCACCCTTGTGGACACGACACAATGGGACACGCACAATACGACGTTGGATAAAAGGCGACAGGGGGTGGAGAATGCAAGGCTGGTTAAGGGTGGGCAGAGAGGGAGAAGGAGAAAGAGGGAAGAGAGAGACAGAGAAGGGCGCGCACCCTCCGCGTTTACTGCAGTGCTCTTCAATCCTGCTGGATATTTTCGACGAGATTTGACCCTCGTCTCGCTTTTCTCTCGCTAATAAATAATAAAGCGCCGGGACAGAAATGTGTCGTAAACTGCACCCTTCGACAGAAGCCAAGAATTCATCCCTGTTCCTCTCCCCCCCTCTCTGTCTCATCCGCTTCAAAACAGACCCGTTTTGTACCCTCCGCCTGTCCCGGAGTACGTCCGACCAAAGTTTCTCCTAATCTGATACCTTTAAGCACACTTTCCGTCAGTTTTCCACCATTTTGTCCCCTCTACCACTTGCCTCTTCCGCCGTGGGACTGATAAGGCGAGCCTAGCATGAGCCACGAATAAGAACAGCTCGTACATCACGCGTGACACGAGACCGAATAATAGCCGAGCGTAAAGACAGCCTCTAAAAACGCAGCAGCCAGTGTTAACCCCTCTAGGATCAAACCGGATTTTATTGGCTCCGGCAAATCCATTTTCATCGACGCTTGTATCCACGATAAATCACAGAGCGAGTTCAAAAGAAGGGTTTTCGGAGATTTTAGGAACCCTTGGTGAAGCAGTAAACAGCCTGAATGGCGCTGGGTATTCGACGAATCGAGGAAATTATTCTTCCCAGTTCCAGCGGTCTTTTCAGAGTAAACCGAGAGATCTTTCACGATCTTCCATAAATCTCCAGCAATGGTAGCATTCTCAGATGTACCTAATGTATAACAGAGTACCCCTGCGCAAACTTGCCTCTAATGCACAGTCCAGGTTCCGTTCGAGTACGTGCCCTAGACGATGACCGAATGACTTGCCCAGTGGTAACGCGTTCTTCCCTCTATCTAGCCTGTTGATCTCGCACACTGTTCCCTATATTGACTCTTCGCGTGTTCTTCTTCATATACGATCGTCTCGGTCCTGCACGTGATGTCTCAATATAAGTTGTCCAGAACTGGTGTCGTGACTGATGAAAGTGGGCGTGCACAGTTCTCATTAGCGGCTCTTTTGATGGAACGTGCGTCAGTGTTTTGCTGCCTAACGTCTGTCAATGAGAGTCAGACGCTTTGTCGGGAATGTCCAAGCTCGAGTTGCCAATCTGAATTCGCAGATCAAGTGCACAGCGTGCACATGCACACCGATCTGAGTGCTGGACATTCGTCAAAAACTCGATAACGTCTAGCAGAAGGTTTGGCCGCGAGAAATCGACAATCCGGAAGCTGGTACCTCGAGTTTGACTTGGCTGGTCAGCGGCTGAGCGAGTGATCTACAGCGGTCTGACGTTGGGCAGGGAGAACGGTCGGAACGAAACAAAAAGAAAGAAGAAACAGGCGAGAGTTCGTGCCACGAAGACCAAAGACTTTCGCGGAGTTTGGCGGGAAGAAGCAAGTTCCCGACCGGGAACCGCGTATGAATTATTCGAGGCGAGCTTTACGCTTTATCGTTCGGGTCTATCGAATCGCGGCGGAAGTGCATCGGCGAAGGGACGCATACCAGGAACCTGGACCGGTTCTCCCCGGGATCGGGGCACGAAAATCCGCGATAAATCTCGCGGCTGACTGCCGGAACACACACGAGGAACAGTCATTTCCGGGGAATTTCTGCTCCGCGGACCGAGGACCAGGTCTCGCACGAGGTTAGGCCTGATCGATTTCTCTTCGCTCGTTATCCGAGCGAACCACCACGAGTTTCTCCAGTCCAAGTTGTAAGACTCACGTCTGATGATGTTACTTTGTGGGTACAATGCGGGGAGAGACGCAAGAGAGATAGGGTTCTCGAAAAATCGATAGACAGCAGGACATGTCAGTCAGCTGAGGTTGGAAACTGGTCATTAGGTTGGTCTAACCTTGTATATACATAGAAATGAGCACATACGAATGAGCTTCTAGAGTCCAAATTGTAAGACTCATGTCTGATGATGTTACTTTGTGGGTATAATGTGGGGAGGGATTCAAAAGAGATGGGGTTCTCGAAAAATCGATAGACAGCAGGACATGTCAGTCAGCTGAGGTTGGAAACTGGTCATTAGGTTGGTCTAACCTTGTGTACACATAGAAATGAGCACATACGAATGAGCTTCTAGAGTCCAAATTGTAAGACTCATGTCTGATGATGTTACTTTGTGGGTATAATGTGGGGAGGGATTCAAAAGAGATGGGGTTCTCGAAAAATCGATAGACAGCAGGACATGTCAGTCAGCTGAGGTTGGAAACTGGTCATTAGGTTGGTCTAACCTTGTGTACACATAGAAATGAGCACATACGAATGAGCTTCTAGAGTCCAAATTGTAAGACTCATGTCTGATGATGTTACTTTGTGGGTATAATGTGGGGAGGGATTCAAAAGAGATGGGGTTCTCGAAAAATCGATAGACAGCAGGACATATCAGTCAGCTGAGGTTGGAAACTGGTCATTAGGTTGGTCTAACCTTGTGTATACATAGAAATGAGCACATACGAATGAGCTTCTGGAGTCCAAATTGTAAGACTCATGTCTGATGATGTTACTTTGCGGGTATAATGTGGGGAGGGATTGAAAAGAGATGGGGTTCTCGAAAAATCGATAGACAGCAGGACATATCAGTCAGCTGAGGTTGGAAACTGGTCATTAGGTTGGTCTAACCTTGTGTATACATAGAAATGAGCACATACGAATGAGCTTCTGGAGTCCAAATTGTAAGACTCATGTCTGATGATGTTACTTTGTGGGTATAATATGGGGAGGGATTGAAAAGAGATGGGGTTCTCGAAAAATCGATAGACAGCAGGACATGTCAGTCAGCTGAGGTTGGAAACTGGTCATTAGGTTGGTCTAACCTTGTGTATAGATAGAAATGAGCACATGCGCGTTATCTTAGTTGGTCAGACACTTATGTCCATTAATTTAGGACGTCTACAGTAGACAGTTGGTAGGGAATTAGTCAGCTGTGATTGGCAACTGATCAGAGGCTTGGTCTAAACTCCTGCAGACATAAAAATGGGTAGATAGAAAGTATTTAATTAATTAGATGACAATATCCACCAATGTGAAACACCCAGGTACAATGTAGACCTCATAAGAAGCCAATTGGCTGTCATTGACAGCCGATCAATAGATTAGTCTAAACTCGTGCACACTTAAAACTGAGTAGCTGCAAATTAATTAGGCGTTTAGATCCACTAATTTAAAACACCTTGTGACGACTCCATAGTTCGTGCACTCACCGCCAGAGGGACTCTGGGACGTCGCCATAACCTCGATACAGCGGAGGTCTAATAGAAAAACAGTCGTCTATGATTGGCAACCGATCAGTAGATTAACCTAATTTCGTATACACATGAAGACGAAGGTACACGAACCTTTTTAATCGACTACTCGAAGACTGACGACCTAATTACGATTAGTATCTAAGAGAGGCACTCTTATCTATTGGTCATTTTGCCTGACGCCTTCTGAGCTTCTTGACATGGCACAAATACATGGATGGAGAGATAGTAAGATGGTTCTAATGCGAGTTCAATTGCTGATATCTCTATAACATCTTCTCCGATACAATCGTAAAATGGGTCACACGTGCTGTCATTATTAGTGAGAAGTGTAGCACAGCAATCAGCGATAGAAAGAAGAAATAGCGTTATTCTCTTAAACCATTAACTACATTAACTCCTCCACTATAATAACGAGTTTCATGAGCTTAGCATACAAACCATGACTCGATACATGACTGAAACTATACTTAACCTACCTTAACACGTGTAAAATTAAAATTAAATACTCTTCATACATACACTCGTACAATCCAATATAAGCATAAAACGAGGTATTAAATCGATTTAAAAACGAAACCAAAAAAATAAAAAATAAATTTCGACCTCAGTACATCCTTCAGAAAAAAATAATTTAATTTGGTAAAAATTATTTTGCTAGGGATAATATCGGGTGTCCCAAATTTCAGTCAAGAAATAATTTTGATAGAAAACACAGGTTTTTAATTAAAAATTGTCAATATTGCTCAACGATGTGTTGTTCTCCCACGTAGCTCTCCGTTTTTAATAATCATTTTGAAATCTCTGAAAGCCAGCTGACATACTGTCTTTTCCATTCGTTGGCAACACATGACTGCACAAATGGCGCGAAATTTAAATCTGTCTCAATTCACTCGTCTTAAATTCGTACTCCTAGAATTAAACACTGATACACCTATATACCTACTTACATATACGTATATACACGTATCACAGAGCCACGACCATAAATAAAAAAGCAAATAAATCACGGACACCCGTGAAATATCGTGAAGATAACGACAATCGCAGGATAATCGATAGCCAAAGCCAAACGTTGATTCGACACTCACCGAAATTAAACTGCGAGAATCGATGGCGCTGAACGATGTCAACCTGCAAAGAGAAAAAAGCCAAGGGTTTATCATCTGATGTTTATCGAGTGAATCGTTTTAACGCGGAGATAAAGCGACGGCGAGTTTCGGATACACCCTGGCCGCTGTTAGTATTACCCCGACGAATGGGCTAAAGAGTGCACTATGGGAACAGGGATTGTCGTTCGACGATTCGAAAGACCGGGATGAAAGTATTTCTAACTAATAGAATTCCAATGCTCCAGTCCGATGTTAACGGTGAAACAAATCGGATGAAAGCGGACGGATCGCGCTAGGCCGAGCCGATCGAGACAGTGTCCACTTAAATTTCGACAGCTCCGTTTTTGTCCCGTTCAACACGGGCCGAAATACGTATTTCGCCTGTCGGGGTCGTCGTTGACTTCGAATTTCGTCGGGGTTCTAACAGAGGGGCCCGGCATCACGTTGCGCCGCCCCTGCAACTCAACGCGGGATGTTTGTCAAGCGGTAATACGGTCCCAACTTCCACCGATAACGAGTCGCCAGTTACAGCATTCAGAGTTTTCCGCTGCACTCTGGATCGCAAGTTAGAGGCAGTGCCGCGATATTTCCTTGTCTCGCGAAATAGCACGTGGTCTCGCGGCGACTGTGGCGCCGCCGCCACTTGTCACGGGGTACGGGTAAATTATCGCGAGT